ATTGATTGTTTTGATACGAAATGCACCCCGCCGATCATTAATCATAGTCTTTCCCTTACTCACGGATTACGAATTAAAAGTAATTGTCATGGCTAAAGCTAAAAATACTGTAACAGAAATTACGCGATATCAGCACAAAATAACGCGATATCAGCACAAAATAAGTTTGCCAATAAGATAACTTCTATTATCCAAAACGTGCTAAATAGTTTGTTTAATAAAAAAAAAAAAGAAAGCCACCAAGAAATGGAGATAGACGAGTAGAAATTCTAAATGTCCAGTATGTGGCCTTTAGTTTATGGATATCTCGAGGATACATCGAACTACATTATTGGAGTTACACCTGAATAAACTCGAAATTACGTGGGTTATTTGCAAATGTGATAGCCTTGTTCAAATCTCGATCTAAATTGAAAATTACCATTACGGTTGTGAACTTTGCAGATCATTAAAAAAATTGATTTGATTCCTTGCCGTTACGTATTTTTTTTTAAATTAGTATAATAGACATATCTATAAGTAGATTCTTTTTCTATCTGAGCGTGTGACAAAAAATTTTGTCTGTGAAGGAAAACTTTACTAGCTGAGCTTAACTTTATTAACTTTGATGCCCAAATCCACCACTTCAGTTGATAAATATAGAAAAAAATTGTATCGCAGACATATACAAAAGTTTCATGCACAATTGGTTCGTAAGGCCCGTATAAATATAGATAAAAACTCAACGTATCAGGGAATTTATACTGTCACGATGGTAAAATTTTATATATTTGCACGCATAAAAATTTATTACGAACAATGTGCAAACAATGAACATTATTTTAAAAAAAAGTTTATAAACGAGTTAAACCCCTATCAGGAAAATGTATAAGTATGCTGGAATAACTGTCAAACAATATTGTGCTCGTGATAGTAACCTTCTGATATTTTTATTACGAATGCATCAAAAAGGTAATTTTTACATTTTCGTATATAAATGTAATAGGTTTTTCTGTTAAAATACTTTTACGGATACTATTCATGTTTTATCTCAACCTTAACCCATGTTTTGTCGCCACTTCTCATTGTTCCATTATAACTCCACCCATGAGCATCTAAGAGATTCCCTTTATAACTGTCATTTTCAGGGTTGCTATTTTTCATCATTTCATCGAATAAATCTAGAACAATGATAACATTAAGATATAGAGCTTAGATTAAATGAAGTATTTATAATATTATCTGGAGTAGGATCTCTAAACATATCCAATACATTAATAGCCCATGAGTTCTGATACTCATTTTGATATGCGGTAACTTTCCACAAAAAGGCGAGAACTTTTCGTTCACCTTTTATTTTGTACACCAAGACTCCTCTAATTGGATCTCCAACCTTGTTAGAGGTAAGACCCCAAATAAAACCTTTGTTTGTTTCTATTCTTGTAGGCGGCGGTTTACGAGGTTCATCTCCTGAAGCAATGTAATATTGTGGTCCTTCAAAAATATATTGTGAAGAATTTTGAATACATATAGCAATTTTTCTTGAAGCACCACCTAAACTCTTTATCGTTACGTATACAAATGGATACAAATTTAATTTTTTTGCATAATATAAATATTCTATAAAAATTTAAGAAATTGATTTATTACATCTAACATTGCCGTAGAATCGTCGGAACCGATTTCTCCACATGGCTTAACGTCATCCATTATTATTGTATGTCAAAGAAAATGACAACAAACTATTGAATTTAAATACAATTATCATGAATATAGAAGCTTCTCTCATATTTTGTAATAGAGTATCTATTATACCACTGATTTATACCGATATGTACCATTAGCATTAGATAAGATACGTGTTTGTCATTCAGAAAATCGTCGTATAAGCCAAATTCCCTTATAGAACAAATTGAAAAATGTATCTCCCTCATTCTATTGTTTTATCTATACTATTAAGGGTTATACAACATTCAGATTCATTATTCACAAGCATAGCGATAGAATTGGAAAATAAGAAAAGGTATAAACGCAGTTATCAAATCATATTACCTCCAATATAGAAAATTTTTTCACGTATCATTTTATTGTATATCTGATACAGCATGCATATTATGCATAAGGCTGCTGAACTTAGAGTAAATAACTAATCGATTTTTTCTTGCGAGTAATCTTCCATAATAAAGATATATTTGCATCTAAACTGGGAACCGGAAACATAAGTCCCGAGTTCTCAAAATTTTTAGGGGCGTTACATACGGAAAATGCCGAAACTACATTATTGATATTTTTATTATAGATGCATTAAAACCGTAGGTGCCGCACAAAAAATGCGCGGCAGATCCTCGATTTTGATTGGCTAAGAGCGACGTTCAAAAATTTTGGCGGAATTACCGTACAGCGTGGATTAAAAGACCCCCTTTTACTGTACCCCTCACAACTTTTAGAGGCCTAAAAAGCATGGCAGACATTCGATTTGATTGGTTAATAAATGTAAACAATAAACGTGATCACTAACCAATAAAATCAATCACAAAATCTAATATGTGAGTAACTAATATAGCGAAGCTTTGGTTTTTACTTATTATAATCTAAGTAGTAATTTTATTTTATTCCAGCTTATACAAGATAAATTATAACCTTTAGTTTACATAATACTAATTATTACTTATATATTATCAGATTGTTTAATCAAAACTAAATTATATCAGATATCTTTTAATATATTCAACGGTTTAACTCTAATATTAAGCAATACATAAGATATAAGTATTAGTATAAAATTATTCATTAAAATAATATATTGAAATAAAATGTTAAAATAATATGTACAAAGTTTTTCAAATCCGAACCTCACACATAATACAAATTTTTTTTATTAACAGTGTTTTTAACATTTAGAACTTACCTATCACGAATATAAGAATAAATAGTAAAATTATTCTCTTTTAAGCAAAGTTTTTAGTGATACTGGTCTATACTGATCTTTTTTGACAGAAGACGTATTAAGAGTTAAAGAATACGAAGAAAGTTTGTTTTTTAAATTTTACTATGTGAAACCATAAGTTGCCAATTAACGATGTGGTTTTTCATAGTAAGGCTTACTTTAAAAATTTTTTTTTTATATTGTGTGACACAGAGTTTTATGGGCCAATCAAATTGAATGTCCGCCATGCTGGCCTAAAATATATATTAAATCGATAGTTATAATTGAAAGTCTAATGACAGGTTTTTCTCCAGCGACACTCATAGTGCAGCCTATATCTCCTACGCTAACTATAGTATTCATCTGACTATAATACATATGCAGTTAACTTGTAAAGTACCCTGGGTATTTTAGTCCACGCTATACGGTACTCAAAATTTTATTAATGAAATCACAGCCGCCCAATAAATAAACATTGTTCCTGGGCTAATTTTACCATTGTGCAGGCTTATTTCTTTAAAAATTTCTATTTTTAGAATAAAAAAGTTAAAATGTTAATCCCGGCCAGAAATTAGTACCGTATCATCCCGAAATAACTCTCCGGGGTGTACATAGATTGACGAGAGCTAGTAATTAATTTAGCCGAGTGTGAATCATAATCTTTTGTTATTAAAATTCTTCGGCCAAATTAATTATTAGGTCTCCTCAATCTACGTACACCCCGGGGCGTTATTTCGGGATGATGCGATAAACAATTAACAGGGGTGAACGTCCCAAATATGGAAAATGGTTACACGAATGTTGAGTGATTGTCACATGCTAGCCAGCCAATAA